TGCAGATTGGGGGGCCGCCGTGGCGGCACTTCCCGCAGGTACGGCAGGAGCATTCTGTGCTGCAGCAATTCGTCTGCTGTAGTCTGCTGCTCCTGCTACACGTGGCGGTGCAGCAGCAGCTGTTTGTGCTACAGGTGGTGGTGCTGCAGCAGGTGTTGCTGCTACAGGTGGTGGTGCTGCAGCAGGTGGTGGTTCTGCAGGTGGCGGTGCTACAGCAGGTGGTGGCGCTGCAGGTGGTGATGCCGCAGCAGGTGTTAATGCTGCAGGTGGTGGCGTTGCAGCAGGTGTTGGTGCTTCAGGTTGTGGTGCTACAGCAGGTGTTGGTGCTGCAGGTTGTGGTGCTACAGCAGGTGTTGGTGCTGCAGGTTGTGATGCTGCAGCAGGTGTTGGTGCTGCAGGTGGTGATGCTGCAGCAGCTGTTTGTGCTGCAGGAGGTGCTGCAGCAGCAGCTGTATCTGCTACAGGTGATGCTACGGCGCTTTTCCCTTTGGTTTCATTCGCCGTGCCTGCGTGGGCAGAAGCAATTCACATGTGAAAGAAATGTGCATAAACCGACAACAGAACGAAAGAAAAAGAGGGAATCAGGGCTGCACATACACCTAAAGTTGAATAATAATCAAGAAGGAAAGATGCAAGAAAGTGTGAAGAAGAAACTCATTGAAATTCGTTAACTTTGCCGCTCACCTTGTGCAGAGACCGGCTTTTGCACTTGTTGTTGAAACGCCGCACTTTCAGCAGCTTTCATTTCATTTTTAATATTTCCTTTTTCTGTTTCCTCCGAAGACACCGATTTATTGGAGGATTCCGCCTGATCACCTTCTCTAGGTTTCACATTCAAGTCTGATTCCGCTGCTGGAGCCGAAGGCCGCGGTAAGTCGCGGGGAGAAGAAGCCGCTACTTCCATGGCTCGCCAATGTCCTGTCGTCCAATAGAAGTAATATTCAACAAGAATGTCAAGTGAGTAACCCGAGGATCGTGGGGAATCGCCGTCGCGACGCGTTCAAGTTTTCGGCTCAATAGAGCCGCATGGCGGTCGGTGATCAAGTAGAGGCAGCGGCCTTGGAAAAGACAAAACGAGGAAAAAATCCTTCTTCATACAAATAAAACCAAATTAAATCGAAATACGCAGCAATGAAAAGCTCGGAAAGTTCAAGCCCCGCTGTTCTGTGATCGGAAACCTGCGAGAACGGCACAGACTCGTGGTGTGCTGCCGTTCGTGTGTACGTACACCTCACGCATTAGCGCATCGCAAAAAATCATGCAACTTTCTATGCGATTGCTGTTTAACTCTCTTAAAAGCTAATTGGAACTGGGCCTCAACAACCGTTCGATCCAATGCTATCGGCTGTGCATGCAAAAAAAAAAGCCCCACATATGATCATTGCTTGCACGTGCAACAAAAAAAGTGCGGTTAAATATCCTTCATTTAGCGCATTGGTACCAAATGTCTTTGACACAGTTCAGTGATCGCATAGAAAGCTGCTCGATGCGCTAGTGCGTCAGGTGTACGTACAGTAAGCCATACGATCTTTAGAACTTGCACAAAGAACATATTGAAAGGCGGGGTTGCCAGATGATGGATGTTCAACGACTCACCGCTCTTATATGGTCACTGTGAACTGCCGAAGTGTCAAAGTGATTAAATTGAGAATTGTTGCGAAAGCAGGCAGAGTCGTCAGCAGGCTACACGCTGCCTGAGCGAGAGAACAGAGCTGTCAGTCGCTTCTGGTTGGTCACTGTGTTGTAGGGTAACCGCCAAAACTCATGACGCGAGGCAATCCAATATCACGAATGCATGCACTAACAATGTCACCCGTTGCTTAGCTGTTACTAGGCGCTCAGCAGCAGTCAGTGTGCAAGTAGAAGCACATGTGGTAGAATCAGAAAAATAATTCCATGTTTCCGCGAGCTCCACCCTCTCCCTCTAGAAGCCCACAACACTAGCTGGTGCACATTTCAAGGAGAGAAAATGAATGCGAAAGCAGGTGGTATATTTGTATACGCGACAGTGTTACAGAAACACAAAATTACACGCATCCCAAATTGATGTAGCGCCACGCACACCAAGACTTCAAGTCCTTGCTACTCAATCAGAAAGCAGACACAGATTCTCATGAAGATATTGATTCAATGAAGCGGCCCTCATATATCCAATGGTCTTTCTGGTTTTCAAGAGTCTTGGCATCTGACTTCGTGATTTAATTTCTGGTGACATTTGCAAGTTGGTGCAGCCTTGTCCAGGTTCTAAGTCTCCCTCATTCTTTCCCCTTGTGCGAAGGGATAGAGAAGGTGCCTTGCGGTTTCAATTATTTGATGCATCTTTACGCAAGTGGTATGGTGACACATCGAATCTGCGCTCAAAAATGGCAATGTACGAAGACACTTTAACTATTAATGAACAGAGAAAGTGCCTACTCAACGATTGCTGGCGGCGAAATTCTACGGCTTCTCGCCCTCCTGAGTGCTGCAGCGATTCTGCGAACCCACTGCAGTCAGTTTGTTTTACAGATATGTGAGAAAACATCTTGGCACAGCTTGTGTCTCTCCTAGTTTTCCCCATGAAGGGCCTATGCTATCTTCATGCATTCCCATGCTGTCACAAGCTATGTATGGAGGACAGCAGTTGCGGGCTTCTCTGCTGGGCTGCCGCGAAGCGCATTTAGAACTGCATCAGCGAACTCAGATGGGACGTGGGTGAGAGGTGGGAGAAACTAAAGGGTTGAATTGTACAGTGCTGAAGTATAAGCCTACACTCGCGAAAAGAAAGTCAAACCACTTTAACGCAAGTGTTGGGGCAGAGACTGGGATGAGTCATGCAGGGTTCCCTCAGAGAATGTTGCCCACTGCACTAAGGGTATGCATTCGCAAGGAGAGCAATTTTTCCCAATGAAGTGTGTCTAGGGTTCTCGATCTTATCCGAGTATCCCTTTGAATTGGATGACAGTCAAACATTTAAGACGTCAACCCCCCCGCAAGTACGCGGCCTCCCACCTCCAGGCCTCTCACACACACTAGTACAAGGTCGTAGGGCTGCTTCCAGGGGGAGAGGGTAATTAGCAATTTCACCGATTATTTACATACATATTGGCATACATATGGAACTAGGAGTGTGGACTTCAGTCTTACCAGTGGCTGTTCACATGCCCCCCGACAACTAAACTGCCAGGACGCTTCAAGCGTAACAAGAGTCCTCGATGGCTTCCACGGATTACAGTGAAGCCACATGTTTAAAGCATAAGTACCTAACCAGGCATCGTTGGCACTGGGGGCTTAACGCCTGGAGTTGCACGAGAGGGATGAGCCTAACATACCTTGCAACTCACTGCTGCTACAAGTAGGCGTGCAAGACAGCCCCACAGGCAGGAAGGGAAACAGACCATGTCTGTGGCTCTTCCTAACAGTGTAGAAAGCTGTTGAGGGCTTGTATTTGCATGAAGGCTCTCCTCTAATGCCGAATAAGGAATTATACGCCAACATTGGACGGGCTCCCCAGTACCTGTCCCACTATGCACAGCAGATCCTACTACACCTGCTGCAGAGGGGACCCACATGCAGGGACCCCTGAGATCACCCCCTACTGAAGATTATTCACTTGTCTTTAAACATTTATTTCGATTCCTATAGCCAACACACATACACTTATTGCGACTGCGCCGTCTCCTACCCGTCGCCCACTGTTTGCTCGCCTGAAGTGCAATGGCATTTAAGTTCAGGGTAGTATGTGGATGAATTTTCTTATTATTCCTTTTACTAATCAGGGCAATGTTTGCCAGGTAGGTGTGAAGACAGAACACTAGTTAGTCAGCATGGGCATTGTGTCGTCTTGCAGCTGCACCATGTGCCAATGCAAGATAAACATGGGGGACCTGGCAGTGAAAGTAACTGCAAATATGCTGAGAAGGAACAAAACTAAATAAGTTTTCCTTGAAAAAACAAAGAAGTGAGTTCTTCTACTGGGGGAACTCGGAACCCGCCTTTTCACGAGGTATTCAAATTCAGGTTTCGCCTGCATGCATTGAGGTCGTTGGTAACGAGTTGGTCCCTATGGAGCGATTTGTGTGTATTTATTCTACAGCGATAAAGATTCTCTTATAATTCCGTGCAAAAAACCATTCAACCCCTCGAAAGACATCAACCGCAACTCCGCATGCCGAGGGCGGCGCCGTTGACGCGTCCTAGTGGTGGAGGGGAAAGCTGAGGAAATTGAGCGCGTTCAAGCCGATCTTGGATGTATTCGTTGTCTTTATGTGCAATTCTCTTCAATAGGAACTCATTGAACCTATATTTATCTTATTAATTTGAGGGTTGCTTTCGTCGAAAGCTGCATATACACCTGGGGTGTCCGACGGCCAGCCCGGCCCGTCGCGACAACGTTTCCTCTCCTTCTTCCTTCGTTCTTTGTTTCTTTCTTCTCATCAATAGCAACAGGACACACTCAATACTGTGGCCGATAGACGCGGCCTGCGGCACCTCTTTGCCGCGTGTTTCTTGCATGATCATCACCAGCTGTTCAACTACCACTGGATCTTCGTCACTGAACCTGTACTCTGGATCTAGTCTCCTTCTTAGGTTTTCCCTCTTGCCTCTTGTTCCGCAGATGCGTAGAAGGATAACTTGAACCCAAGGTGGAGTCTCTTGCAGCCTAATCATCATCCGTTAGCATCTGCAGCCATTTACGGCGGAGGGAAATACTTTAAAGGAGGCAGGTCTTCCTCCTTAAGTATTCAATAGAGATGCCTTGGGAGGAAGAGGAAATACCCATTAGGCAGGTTTTGGTGTTATAGGAAGAGAGAAGTTCCTCAGAAGTCAACAAGACGTAGTTGCATCAGCAGAACCGCAGTGCATGCATTATTCATACTTTCCTGGCAGCAGCAGCGTGTGCAGCAGCAGCAACAGCAGCAGAAACAGCAGCAGAAGCAGCAGCAGCAACAGCAGCATTTGGTTTTGACAACTTGAACAATTCAACTTCTTAGTGTTTCCTTATCTACTTGCCGCTCACACCTGCGGTTGTCAGCAATTTCCTCTTGCTTTTTTTTTCTTTTCTTTAATATAGTTAGGGTGTATCACTAAGACTAATTGTCTTTTTTATTTCTCTTTTCTTTTATTTTTTTTGTATTTGCTGCAACACATATCTTGTGTTGCATGCGTTTATCCGCCAATCCGCTGCAGCAACAGCAGCAGCAACAGCAGCAGCAAAAGCTGCAGCATATCCCTGCGAACGCTGGAAAACAGCAGCAGGATCAAAAACAGCAGCAGCAGCAGGCCAATCCAATAGGCAGCAGCTGCAGCAGCAGGATTAACATCAGCAGCACCAACAGAATCAGCAGCAGCAGCATAATCAGCAGCAGCACCAGCAGCAGAATTCTGTGTGAATAATTATTTTGTTTGATGATTCATACAAGGAAGGAGTATTCATCTATTGGGGGTTTTCCCTCTTCTTCTTCTTCTTCTTCTTCCTCTTCTTCTTCCTCCTCTTCCTCATCCTCTTCCTCTTCTTCCTCTTCCTCTTCTTCCTATCCACCCCTTCCGTCATCTTCTTCCTCTTCCTCTTCCTCTCCTCCTCCCCCCTCCTTTTCCTCCTTCTCCTCCCCCTCCCCCTCCTCCTCCTCCTCCTCCTCCTCCTCCTCCTTACGTTCTGCCCTATTAAGTGCTATGCGGGGATTGAGCTACGTAGGGGCAGAGAGCCTATCAGAGGAGGAAGCAGATCGTATGTGGAGATCCTTACATGATGCATTTATACAAATATTTAATCATAATGCTTCCTCTCTTTCTTTTGAAGAATTATATAGGTAAATTATCTATATTATTTATCTTATTTATCTTATTTATCTTATTTATTTTATTGTGTATAGACAGGTTATAGGGGGGGAAATAGGGGTCTCGTTAGATTGAACGGTTTAGGGT